TGTCTTCGGGTTGGAATTGCTGCACGTCCTTTCCAATCATCAGCAACTCGACAAATTTGATCAAGAATGAACCACAATCAGTCATAAGAGAAATGTAAGATATGCAATGAATTAAACAATAAATCTTAAGTACATATGAATAATATAACAAATAATAACACGTACGATCCAGTTTGGTGTGGTGATCTTTGCCATNTGGTGATCTTTGCCACTGTATATCAAATTTGTTGAAGACATTCCCAAAAGACTTGTGATTTTTGTCAAACTGTGAGAACTTTAGCAAATGGGGGATCATGCGTGCATACATTTGCATGTAGTTCATTCCTGCTTCATATGGCTCACTGTATATGGAATCATATACATCAATCTTTTTTTGATTCAAGTCCAATACTCCCAACAAAAAGTGTGTCACAGCTTCATCATCTTCTGATGGAAGCCGACATGGAAAAAAGATTTTGTCAACCTCAGTCCATGCAATTCCACATCTACGGCTGTCCCCCCACACATATGGTGTCAGAAATAACTGATTATCACCAGCACACCAAAACTCATCACTAGCATCTTCACTGAAATCTTTATACACAAGTGCCATATAATTATCAAAAAGAACATCAGTAGTTGTGCATCGAAAAGGATGATCGCGAGGGTGGTAGCATTCCTTCTTTCTCAGATAATAGAGAGCAATGTCAATATGCTTCATAAAAAGGCAAAAAATAAAACAAATCAATAACAAATCAGTCATAAAATAATGAAAAAATGATAAATTAATAATAGAAAAAATAAATGCCTTGTGAATTATCTAACCTTATCATCAAGAACAAATTTGCTATCTGAAAGCTCAAGGAAAAACATTTTGCTACTGATTTTTTGATGATACAATTTGTATGGTTTTTTCCTCAAACTATTATCATCAGCATATAAATCAATTTGTCCCCTGAAAATTTTGAAAATGTCAAGTTAGAATTTTGAAAACTTTAATTTATAACTTAAGGACCAAGTGTCCTTAGCTTTTGAATTTGATACTCAAACTTAAGGACTGCTTGTCCTTAACTTATGAATTTTGAATTCAAACTTAAGGACAAAAAGTCTTTAAGTTTTAAACTTGAATCTATAAGTTAAGGACAGTTAGTCCTAAAATTAGTCTAACAATCACAGAAGTTAAGGATGTAGTGAAACACATTAAGAGACTTACTCTTTTTTGCGACCTCTCCTTTTCTCCTTGCCCAACCACACAATGAATTTCTTCACTAATTTTTCATCTTTTTTGGCATAATGAAAAATACACATACGAGTATAGGTTGATTTTATCCAACCTGAACTCTTCAGAGTATTTTGATTGTCTGCCTTGGAACTTACTGTTTTTCCTTCCTTATCAAAAGGAGATTTCAACTGCCAGCTTAACTTCTTGTTCCTTTTACCTCAACCAAGTTCTTCTTCAACATTTCCTTCACCCTCCATAGTTAAAGTCGAATCAATGTCCATTTGTATACTTGGAGGAGTAGGAGTAAGAAGAGAAAATGACGGATCATCATAACCAATACTGTCTCTCTTTCTTTTCCTTGTATATTGGT